GAAAAGAGATAGGGGCTGGGGGAGGGCGGCGTGAAAAAGAGAAATAAGTCCCATTAGACCATTAGGATGGTAAGTTGTGGTGAAAATAAAAGAAGAGCACGAGGGGAAAAGAAAAGTCTTAGGAAAGAGACCTGCAGACACATACAGAGACCCCATGCTGGAAAATGCCGTTGTTGAGCTTTGAAGCACAGTGGTAATGAGGCTCCATTTAAATCCAATGAAGCCGCTTTGGCAGCTTATGAAAGCACAATTGGTAAGCCCCCTTCGTCTGCTGATGGGTGTGTGTGTGTTCCTGTGGTTGTGTGTGTGTCAGTAGAATAGGGAGGGGACAAACTGGACAATATTTGGCTTTACTTTAGTTTCTCTTTTCATCAAAGCAGCAAATTATTCACAAAACTCCCGTAAGTCAGTTTATTCTATAAACACTAGCAAACAAAGCTTAAATGTGACAGTGATTTACACTGGCTATAATTGATGTAACTTTCATTATAGCAGTAATTCGCAATGAACCCTATGAGGGAGCCCCTTAGCTCTTTAGATCAAGGTTTTCCATTACGGATGCATTCATCAAGGTGAAGGAAACAAAATTAGCTGACAGAGATGAATGCAGCGTTAGAGCAGTGCAGGTGATGAGGGAAAGTAATGTAGATGTTTTTGATAAACCTTTATAGAGACAAACAGTAGGTGGGCTGCATTACTTTAGAAAACATAGTGTAGAAGAAGCTTGTTAAGGGGCTTTTTGGATCAAGTGCCACTTGCAGGCCTGAAAACTAAAGTCAACACCAAAAAGTGGAGTTGCTCAAGTGGGTACTTAAAGCTGACTCCAAAAATCAGTCCCTACAAGAAAAAGAAGTGGTTTTGGTCTCTACAATAAAAGAAGCTGTACTGGGAAGGATTTTGTGATTAACTGACTTGTTTGAATTGTATTAGAAGCTTATACGTTATTAGGAGTTTGGCCATTCTGAATGAGGGCTGCCGTTATCCCATGTGTGACACACTTACACTGGATACACTTTGCTAACCAAGCAATAGCTAATAAATTAGCACCCCATAATCTTTCATCCAAGTGGCGATTTCTGATTAGATTTGAGTCTTCATAACAGGACTTTATAAACCAACATCGCTATGATCATCTTTATGGGTAAACCTTGAAAACCCTAAACCTTTCATGAGGTTTGGCAACCACCAGTGGTAAGGGAAAAATGTGCATTTCCCAGCTGGTCGCCAAGCGGTTGCTTGAGGTTGGTGGCAGTTGCTGTGAAATCAGTTGCCAAATCCCCGGCCACGCAGGCTGATCAGTGAGGTGTATCGCTGGAGACTGCTGGCAGTCGCAACCTGAAATTGGTTACAAAGAGGTATGCCATGTTGCACCAAAAACATACCAGCATTTTCTTAGATTGCTAACAGATTTTCATGGTTCCCCTAGATTGCAATACACTGACTTGTCAAAAAAACAATCAACCGTTGCTCTCCGAGCTGTAGTGAAACTGTTTAAAGCGCAACACAAAACATTAACGGAGAATGTTTGCCTTCAAAGTCAAACTTCCACCCTTTGAAACATGTTGGCTGCCATGCTTTTAGCCACTTAACTAGTAATTTCCAAGTGTTATCATGTTGTCATCTTCTATGGAAACTACAGGCAATTGCAACAATCTGCTAGTGACTAAAGCAAAAACAAGGACCTTTGCTGCACCCTCTTTTCGACTGATGTTCACCCAGCGATTCTCACCAACCAGTAAAGGAACACACATTATTCCCACCAGCTGGTCTCTAAGCCTGTGTGACTGAGACCTTAAAAGTTTCGACCACTCAAAAATTAATCGCTAAAAATCGATGTAGCAACCAGCAGTTTGTAAAATGTTGTTATGAAGACTCAAATTTCAAATTTTCAATGTCGTTTCAAACTGAAGAAAGCAAAAGGAAACCACATTTGAAGTCTGAAAAGCTGTATGTGACAGAATTCCCCTATCTTTGTGATTCACTAGTATAGTCACTAGTATAGACCTTGCTAACCAAGGTAACTGGGACTTATTGATAGCTTAGGACTCCACCCTCCCATCCCAATATGTTAATAGTTAATGGTAGCCAAAAAGCTAAAGCTGAGGCTTCAAATGAACTTTACAAAATAAAGGGTGACATCGAAGTGGGTTTGGGGTCTGGGACTCGGTTATTGGTTGTCACAGAGATTACAAAAAAGGAGAAAGCTTAGTGCCTTGTAAAACAACATCTTAATATCTTTATTTTGTTATTCGTAAGAAGAAGCGAAGAACTGAGGCAATATTTTGCTCATGTAAATGCTGATCATCTTTAATGACTGAATGTCCTGCAGGACTAAGGATTTTCAGTTTTGTTCTGGTTGTAGACAGTTTTGCTTTGGTGTATAGTTAACTGAACTCAATATAAACAGCAACTTGATAAAAGGCCAGGATGTCCAAGAGAGAGATGCTTGATTCAGAGATTCAAGATATGTTTCAGTGTGTGTGTGTCCAGTCTGTGAAACCTCTATTCTCAGAGCCTCAGTGGCCATGCCTGGGGAGAGTGATGATAAATGACTGCTTTCCTGTAATTTACCTTCAGGAGAATGGATGGAGCTGGCCTGTTTGGTTAGTGGGTGGGGAAATGAGGAAGAGAGGACACTGTAGGTGAAAAAAAAGAGAAAGAGAGTAAGGAGATTCCTGCTTTGAGCCTTTCTCTGGAGTTGGGTTTCCTCCAAGGTGAGGAACGCATTAAATTGTGTGTATATACTGTGTGTGCGCGCCTCATTGTTTATTTACAGAGCTTTAGCTCTTGCAGCGTTCATAGAGGAGGGGAGCCGCTCTACCCAATATTCTCTTCTTCAAACCCCCATCTAGCCCCCGTGAGTGGAAACATACCAGAGCAGTGCCAACTGTGTTTGAGCAATGGAGAAAACACACATGATCAATTTTATATAATTTCTGCAGCTAAGGCTAATAGCCGCTATTAAAGAGACAGATGATCAACACAACGCACAGTTCATTACCTAATAATTTATTTTTTACCATTTAGATTAAAAAGTCAGTGGTTCATTGCCTCAGAGGAAAATGTACAAGGAAGACTTCGATATAACAGAAGTGAAAAGCAGTGCTAGACTGAGGGCAGGATCCCTTTGTTCCCCCCAAAAAGGTAGGTGGACAATTTTTGTGTGAGTGAACCATTATTCCCAGGACATTAATGTAACAGGACATGGTGGGCTTTGTGTGTCAGTTTCCATCTGTACCTCTATGGGAAAAGCAGAGGGTCCAGTCAGTCACGTTTTTACTCCATTCACCTCAAAGTCATTTACAATTGGGTGGTTGTTGTCTGGAAACAACATAAAACCGAAAGGAATACATTCTGTGTAATATCTGAACCACGTCTTCTGGTCGTGATCACGAAAGCATATGTTCCTGGTTTCTACATCCATATAACATCCATAATCATCTGGTTTGTACATCCATAAATGTGAGTCATCCCAGGCTAAGTGATGCTTTACAAAAGACAACATAAACGGCAGAGGCAGTTCAGTACATATTTACAATATTTAAAAAAAAAATGCATCCGGACAAGCCAAATGTGTGGATGAAAATGACGCATGTGCACAAAAAAAAAGAAAAAAATAGTCAAAAAACAAACAATGGGAAGTTGACCAAGAAAATGTGTGTGATATAATTCTTCATCATGGACCGTTTCAGAACCCTACCCCCACCCAAAAACACTAAACTTCAAATAAGTTTCCTCTCACCTCTCTGCAAGTTGTGCGTGTCACTTGTTTGCTCGGGAAGGTTAATTAAACACACAAACTCACACACCTGTGAATGCTATAAATGCTGTGGAAAAAAAAAACAGGGGGGAGGAAGCAAAGTGAAGCAGTTATGGTCTCAGTTCCACTGCCAAGCTGCTGGGCTTGTTAATATAAAACAACAGGATGGCTCTCTCTATGAGGCTCACAAAATAGCTTTCACAAGCGCTACACTTCCACCCCCTAACCCCCCACTCAAACAAAATCTGGCCAATTTTAACCTTTTTTGATTTCGATGTTCAGGATGGGCACTTAAGAAAAGGAAAAGCTGGTTTGTAGTTTTCGATCATGTGACCTGTGCAGAGGCCTGCAGGGAAAACTGTATTTTTTTTCCAGCTTACATACCAGACACTCCACAGAACTGCAGGAGAACCGTGTAAATATTTCATCTTTTACAATCCATGAATGTTTACAATCCTTTTTAAAGGATTCACACAAAGATGTGATCCCGCTCCATTCTGGTGATGTTTTACTTGAACTCTACATGGACAAAAGATTTTGGACCACACCTTTTAATGAATTCAAGTGTTTTCAAACCCATTGCCACAGGTGTATAAAATGAAGCACCTAGCAACGCAGTCTGCTTTTACAAGCATTTGTGAAAGATCAGTTCTAAAGAGCTCATTGAAATCCATCACATGTGTAATTTTTTCCCCTCTTCCAGATATTCTACGATAAGCTATCGGTGGTATTATCGCAAACATGGGCGTGTTTAAAAATAGTGACAAAGTGGAAGGCCATGTGACGTTACAGAGCAACCGCTAAGGTGCACCTGTGACTCAATAACTGCAGATTTGCAAACCTTGTTTAGCATTAACATCAGCACAGAAGCTGTGTGCCAGGAGCTTCACGACATGGATTTTGGTACCTGAGAAGCTCTTGTAGGTGTGAGGTATACTACTTTTGTCCATATAGTGCATTTAGTGGAGATTCCTTCACTTTACACTGCAGTGCAAAAGCACAAACATACTTAATCTTGATTTGATTTGCTCTTTTAGATTTGAAGGTAAAAAAGCCCTCAACTATTAAAACAAAGACAAGGGCGCTTTAGCTAAAACTAGCTAGCTAACACATGGTGATCCATCAGCTGCTGGCTTCAAACGTTTTATGGCAGAAGTGACACACCAGGAACATTTTGTTTAACATCATTATAGTGAAACTTATTTCCAATAGCAGTTTCATGAGTTGCTATTGACAAGATCAGTTGCTGTGGTGGATTGGTGTGATCTGGCCGCAGCAGCTGCATGACAGGATACCTCAGCATACCTTTCACGCTGGTCTTTTTGTACGCCACAGGCAACGTCATCATTATAGTCCTAAACATTTATGGTGCAGGAAGCTGCTACAGTACTCCTCGGAACAATAGGTGTCGCTACTCCGAAAAAAACCTCTGCATCAGCACTGATATAAGGGAAATCGCCTCCATCTATACTTTTTTCTCCACCAAGTCATCTTACAACATGTCCGTCTGATCTGTGACCATGTGAGCAGTAAAACCTGACATGATTGTACACTTTTATCTGCTTGGCTGGTACAACGGGGCCCTTAGGGTAAATGTGTTCCCATGCAGTGCCACACTCTAAAGATTTGCTGGCAGGATAGTTATACATGTGTATAGTTTAAGAACTATCCAGCATTTTGGGTAAACTGAACTGGCAAAAATGATCAACGGGCATCGGAAAAAGCCTCTTTTGGAAGCGTTCCTATAGTGTGACATATCACGTGAAAACTAGAAGAGAAAGAATTTTGTGGAATTCCTTCACGAGGGTGTTGGGTGCTCAAGGAGCTGAGGCAAATATTTTGACAATTCATCGGAATGCCAGACTTACATACCAAGATGCGGACACGGGTGCTACTGTAACACCACCTGTCTGACAGGTCACAGAGGACAGCCGACACATAAATAAAGGACTGCTTCTGCATTTTTGAGAAATTCCATCAGTGGGATTTGTGCCCTCAGCATAGTGCCATAGAAAACTTAAACGTCTGCTTTTTTTTTTTTTTTTTTGTCACACATCAGAAGTCGTGGTGGCTTATAATTCATTTTGGTTACAACTTGTTTTTGCATTGTATTATAAAAAACAAAAACAAAAAATGTCTTGATGAGAGAGAAAAGCATGAAGAGCCACAATCGTTTGAACAACATCTAGTCATGTTCAGAGTTCATAACAGCATCAAATATCATGCCATTAGACGTCCTCAGTTCTAATAACACGTCATAAACACAATCAGACCATTTACCTGTGTGTCTTTTCTTTGCAGATTGATTTACATTCTCAGAAAACAAGAACTACAGTGCAGTACTATACACCACAGAGGAGTCTGGAAGCCTCTTTCTGTGCTTTCACTTATCTAAAACACTAAATACACAACATGCAAAATGGGTTAAAAGGGGAATTCGGGGGGGTTGGGGGGAAAGAGGTGGAGGGAGGGAGTTTGTGGCTGACACACAGACGAGAGCAGAGGAGAGACACTTTTGGAGGAATGACAAACCAAACATGCCGCCAAAGCCAAAGGAGCGTAACCACAAGCTAGCATGAGATGCCTGTAGGAACACTCACTGCTATGTGAGCTTGATGTGCCCCTCAACTAAACTGTGTGTTTATATTGTACTCTATTTAAATAAATTGTAAAGTCGTTTACAAAATGAAATAACTGCAAAAGGCAGATAAAAAGCTTGAGAGCAACCAGATGGGTCTCTCTGCGGTTAATTCGTTGGTCCTGACTTTCATAGTCTCTTAATTGAATTTAAAAACTGACTACTCTTATTTGGCAAGGCATGACAGGGTTATGCATTTGGGGTGGGCAAGTGGTGGAAGATGACCTGGGAAGTTTTCCTTTGGATCTTCATGCTCATATTGGTTTACCTCTCTCTGCTCCCTGTAAGGATTTGATGGACCAGCAAAAAAAAAAAAAAAAAGAAAAGAAAAAGAAAAAAACCCACAAACATGCAAACTTAACAAAGCACATGAGGACTGAAATATGATCCTCTCATGTCATAATACAATCAGTGAGCACTAAAAATGTTCCAGGCTCATTCATTTTGTCAAAATACTAAGCAAGGAATGAAAAACAAAAACGAAAAAACCCAACAACACAGCTACGTCTTTTCTTTATCCAACTTGTTTTTGTGTTTTTACTGCATGAAAAAGGAACTCTTGTTTCAATCTCTTGTTGTGGCAAACAAAAGCCTGCCAGTCTTCATCAGTCAACACAATGAAATGTTCGGCCATTTTTAAAGACATAAGTGACGCTGGCCACACAGCAACGTCTGGAAGAGCTGTACCCAGCAAAGAGAATATCCACGAAGCGCAAAAGTCTCAATGGAAAAGTTGGTTTTGTTCTGAAATTCGGTCTGCACCGCTTCATCTTCCACAAAGTGACAGGCCATGAGTCATGATGGTGACTTTATAAACCACTCGTAAGAGGGAATAGTGGTGAAGAGGCCTGCAATGTGACTCACTCGTGCTCAATGCAACAAAGGGATACATCTCAAATAAGGATGTGGATGGCTGAGATAGCAAAGTAGCCACACAAGATATACAAACTCTAGTATGAGCAGTGGCATCGGGTACTTGACCGTATAAGAGCCTACGTGAGCAGTTTATTCTGTGAGGGCTGTATGGTGGTGGCGGCAGCAGCAGTGGTGGTGTGACTGAGGTTTGCTGTGGAAAATGTCCCTGCAAAGGGAGCCCTTGGTTCCTTGTAGGACACAGAAGTCCTATAGTCCAAAGAAGATACTGCAAAGACCTTGAGAAATTAGGCCTGTTTTGACAGGAAAATGCTGAAGGTCATCAGTGTGAGGTGGCCAAGCTGGAGATCTGTAGCTTGTCTTGTTGCTGATATCAGTCTGTGAAGTGATAAACACTCTATAATAAAATCCTCAGAGAACAGTGAGGGGTGAGCATTGGTAGTCTTGCATGAAAATACCTTAAAATGGCAGAAGACAGGCAGTTTTGACAGGTGGAGGTCAGGGGGTTGTATTTTTTAGCAGGGGGTTGGACAGTTCAGTTGCCGTCGTCGAGAGGGGAAATGGCGCCTGCTTTTGTCTACACTTCACACCCTTTTTAATGGTCCCTTTTTAAGGCAAACCAATTGGACAAATAGACAAGTGGCCTTACAATGAAAAAAACTTGAAAAATAAAAATGAAAATAATTATACAATATACACAAAACGTGGTCCTTAAAACAGGCAGGGTACATGCAGTCTTTGTAATGTGCAGCGTTCCCACAATGGAGGAGAAGAAAGGACTCGAGTGGCCGGGGATAAGAGAAGTCAAGAGTCAGGATTTGTGATTGAGTGCTGTGAAGGGAGAGGTAGGGATGGACGCTGCTTTTCCCAATCATGCTTTGCTGCACTTCCCCTTCTTCTCCTTGCGCTGGAACTTCCTCAGACGTCTCGTCCAAACGTCTCTCCACTGGATCACCAGGCTGTTCTTATCGGCCACCAAGCCTATGCGCTCCGCCCCCGGACTGCTGGCTCCACCTCCGGGCCCGACTCCTGGACCTGCTCCTGGGCCCGTTCCACCTTCAGCGCCACCCATCACCAAAAATCGTTTGCTCATCTGGATTTTGGGACACTTGCAGGCAAGGTCCTTCATGTGTACCCACAAGATGTTGTCACCTCGCTTTAAGGGTTCGCCCCGGCTCTTGTACACAGCCACCACGCTAACGGAGAACTTGGCCCAGTCACCCACCGTCTCCATGTCCAGCACGTTCACTTGGACAGCTGGGAACACATGTGCAAGAAACACACTCAGGTGAACGCTCAAAACTCTTTACGCTTTTTAATTAATGGTATGGAAAGGAATTCTGCTCTCTTACCATAATCCTTCTTGCAGTATTTCTTCATGTTGATCTTCAAGTTGCCTTTCACTGGTTTACAGTAGGACTCACAATCTGCAAAAATAAGGACAACCAAGTTCACACCTGAAATGCAGGCAGTGACTCCAGTGCTTGTTTTCCACCAACATGTGGCTGGGGCCAGTTCTCTCTTGGTGCACTAAAAACCATCCTTCATTTTGACAGATTTGGGAACCAAATGTTGCATAGTGTTACTAACAGAAGTCGGTGTGATTTCCTTGGGAAGAATATCATGGTCAACAGAATCTGCAGACTCCAAATGCCAGTCACTTGTGAACCCTCCCTTTGGGACAGATTTTTGACACAAGTCATCAGTCTTCTTTTTTGTGGTGGAAATGTGTTTAAGCATTTATAGACTAGGCACATTCACAGTATTGGTGAAAAAGGTACCAAAGGAGCACATGAATCTTTCATATTTGCTCAGTCTTACTAACACGTTGTAATGCATAATTAGTGTCACATCACTTTAAAATATAAAACGCAGTGATCAAGCAAATATAAACATAACATTGTGATATGTGCTGATTTCTATATAGAAAGGTCAACTTTGACTCCCCGTCCCATTAATATATTTCAAATTTTTCTACAAATACAAAAAAAATACACATCAAAGCATGATCTACTTTTTAAATACATGTGTATTTTTTTCTATAATAACTGAGTAAACTTACACTTGCCTTTACAAACTGACTGATGTTGCCAAAGGCTGAAAGGAAAACTGGAGCAGCGCTAAATAATAGTTGGGCTTGGTGTGGTTTTTGTGCGCTAAAAAACAGCTTCTGACAAATCACACATCCAAATCCCTGCAACAGCCAGTGCTGGGAGGCAAGTGAAACATACCAGAGGAGTAAAAGTGTTCAGTTTGACATGTTCTCCGGGGCCTTGAGAAAAGGCAGAGCGTGGTGGAAGCAGGTCATGGTTGGATGAATGTGGATAGGCCTTGGCTGCCAGAGTGACAACTAAGACCACACACTGGACCGATGACCTCTGCTGACCATTAGTAGGTGGGGTTGCAAATGATGTGGTTTGTACGTTTATGAATATGACAGTCAAAATTGATTTCTTGGCTGGATGACGATTCTCTGATCTTTTTCTGACCGACTTTAAGGCCAGCCACGGTTTGGTTTAGTTGTTCTGTGTCCTCCAGCATCTTTTTCAATCCAGCTTTTCCCTCATGCAGATTTTGGCCAAAGAGCAGGCATGTGGCGCTGGAAACACTTTGGCACTTGATTTCAGCATTTGGAACCTGAGCAGCCACCTTTCCTTCTATTATATGACTCACAGCTTACCTGCAACCTGAGTCAAATTTAAAAAATATATATATATATATTGAATTTGTTTGTAATTTTATGTTGAGGAATAGCTGTGTACAGCAGTTTCAATGGACCAGAAAGGTCGGAAAGAAACTCTCAGTTGTGTTATAGAACCCTTCAAAGATTTGAAAGCATATGCATGTAATTACATCGCGTGGTTTATTTTCTTGTAATCCTGAAATATTTGTTTTGCCATGTCGGTATTCTCGGAGATCAGAAAACATGTTTTGCAAGAACAAAGAGCAAAAGGAAAGGGAAACTGAGAAGATAAGCATGATTAAATAGGCTTAAACAGATGAAGTGCGCTAAAACGATGACAAGAATCCCTTTTAAAATTTAAAGCATTCACTGTGCTTTTAACTCAATTTCTGCCACTGGAGCTGCAGAAAGAAAAATGCTGTTGTTTGTTAGTAAGACTCATCTGTGGTTGACACAGAATCCACAGCATAAAAAGAAAAATCTATGAGAAGGATACAAAATAAGTTTAAAAAAAAAAAAATGGTGAACTGAAATTGCAAAAGAAAAAAGAGTTTTAGTGACTTCTAATGAAGGGACGTGAAAAGTTGACCACCAACAAACCACACGCTGGTAAGTGGACTGGTATCTGCGGTGCGGAATCTCGTTCCCTTCAAAAGGAATAACCATTTAGCCGTTTTTGCTTTCCAAAGAAAACCAAATAAAAATCGCTGGACACGAAATGTCCAAGTTTAAAAACAAAAAAAGAGAAAAATGACCCTTTTGGGAATGTTGTATGAGTGAAAGGGTGTTGAATTGTTCATTTTTTTTGTGAAAGAACTGAGGAGGAGGAAGAAACGGGGGACCGAGGAGCTCATTAAAACGTCCAGAAAGGTTGGCTGTATATCAGAGTGCTGGAGATTTTATTATCCAGAGAGAGGACAGAAAGGGAAAGACAAAAGGAGAAAGAAGATGACTTTCAATACGCTGCAATGAGTTTAGGTGTGGATGAGTGCAAAGGTGTGTAGTGTATGTGTGTGCGTTTTACTTTAAATAAATGATGCAGAATATCACAGCCTTCTTAAGGGCTTTCTCATTAGTACCGAGTATGTGGTATTCATGTAAGTATGCATGCAGCTGTGACAGGCATGCATGTGCATGAGATGAGCATGGATTTCATTAGATCACAGCTGTTTTGTGTATGTAGGTCTCTGTTTTTGTATACAGTGGCTAACCTGCTCTTGAAACTCTGGCTGGGGCGACAGTATGCTCTTTCCCATGAAGCACTACTTACTGCTGGGTGATCACCTGGAAAAGCTCTCGGTGAATTGCCCAATGACCCAGAAGGCCAGCCTGCTGAAAACATGCACAATTGGCTCCAAGGCTCTCGATGCCCTCTTTCCCTTGAGCCCCTTTCACTGTGCCATGACAAGGACAAATTGCATCCAACGCCCCTTACACAAAAAGATTTTGGGGGCCTTAGGTTTCTGATGGTGAAGCTCTTTCTGTGGTAGTTTAGGAAGGAGAAAGATGGGGGAAATGCTCTGGTGTGTTTGGTAGAAGCTGAGGTGAATTGACAATCAATGACTCTTGTGTTCTTAGACCCTGTAACATTTTCCCAGGAAAGTAGTAAACAAGAAAGGGCTGGACTCTCTGGGTTAAAAAGACCCAAGCGATGGCGGTAAAAGGTTATACAGAACAAGTTGTAAATAAGTGAAGAAGCTGCGAGTCTAAGGAAAATTAAATTCAGGACTTACAGTCACAGTAAAAAGAAAGTACACCCTCTGTCAGTTCCAATGTTTCCAAAGGAATTTTTTCCAGATGCAATTTTGCAAACTTGAGTTGTACTGCCATGTTCTTTTGAAAGAGAAGAAGTTTCCTCCTGGAGACACTTCCAAACAATCCATACTTGTCCAGTCTTTTTCTAATCGTATTATCATGAACTTAACATTGACCATGCTGAGACACGTGCAGTCTGAGGTGTAGCCTTTCTGTTTTGAAGTTTCTTTGAACATTGTACGGTCTTGACCTTGGGGTGAATTTGCTGGGACATCCACTCCTGCTAACGGTTTTGAATGTTTTTCACCAGTGGAATATTCTTTCTCACTCTACAATGATGGATTTCAAATTATTAGTTCCAACTTCGCAGATTGGTGACCAGCATCAGTTGCTTCTCTGAGATGATTTCTGATGCATTTCCTCTTTAATGTTGTGCTAATACACAATTGAATACTTCAGACCTACAAACTGTCCGAACTTCAGCTTTTATAGAGATGCTCACACTGAGGGTGTACTTTCACACACAATTCTGCATTTTGCGTTAGTATTTTTAAAAAATAATAACACAGTATAATCATGTGCTGTTCATCTGAGGTTGTATTTACATAATTTAAAGACCTGATTTTATGTTTTACTTTAACTACACTCACTTGTAAACATAGTAATGGTAAAAAAAAAATGAGATGAAAGATCTTTGGCTAGAATTCACCTCACCTAATTGAAATCATTTTAGGTAACGTTTGATCCCAATTGGATCTATTTTATGCAATTATCTGCCCTAAATTTCAATAATTAACCTACCATGATTAATCTGTTGTAATAAACCATTTCTTTCCCCCATTTTTTTGTCCAGGCTTTTTGCTAAGCTAACCGGTTAGCTAAGCTAACCAGTAACCGGTTAGCTTAGCTTAGCTAGTTTACAACATTTACCTTAGAAACTTCACGAATTCTCGTTAAACTCTTCACCAGAAGAATGTTTTTCATTTCACACTGTTAGACATATCTGGAGGTTTTTATTTGGAGTGTACAACCAATTTTGGCCTTTTATGTGGACCTCGGTAAGAGCCATTATAAACATCTTGAACTCTATGAATCGAGTCCTCAAAATTTATAGCATGCAACCTCGAAAGTTAAGTCGAAAGTTAAACTTTGAAAATTTATTGTGAGGGTTCTGAAAATACATATTATTTTTAGAAGAGAAAGGACATAAAAACAAGAAAACCATTATTGCTTTAAAAAGAATGGCAGTGGTAGCAAATTTGGGAGGGGTGCACAGTCTGCCATTTCAGTGATGATATATGTTATAAATCCACTAATGAATCAACATTTCCAAATCAACACCGCCATTTAAATCAAATAGTTGTAGAATGAAAAATGCGGACAGGGTAATTGACCGAAGCCTAGAGTGTTAGAGGGAGTGACTGAACAAATTTCCCCCAGTTACTTGCCAACACTCTTTTCATGCCTCGCAACGTTCCCCTTCCACTATATCTCCCAACTAAACTGTAACTAATCGTCTCAGCTGCCTATCTGCTGCCCTTGGCTTAAAGCTGCACTTAAAGTCTGAGCACAGCGTGTCTCCACTAACTTGAGGCTAGCGGTTGGGGAAACTATGCCAAGGACACAGGTTTTTAAGACAATGTAAAATTTTTCCGTCCCCAGTGCACTCGTTTCCTTTGCTGAGAACTTCAAATGAGCAGACCCGCCCTCTATTAATATTTATTCCACGCCTTAAAATACGTGTCCAGAAATATTAAATATTATGTTTTTGTTCCTCTCATAAAGTAGGGGTGCTCAAGGTGCAAGGAGTATATACTAACCTGCTGGTTCCTCTGTGCTGCTCACGACAGCTGTGGGGTTGACCACAGGGATTTCTGAAACACGCACAAGAAACACAAAGTTATTTCAACGATTAATTCTAAGTCCACACCTTTCAAGTATGTCTGAAATGATCTGGCTGCCGGCCTACAATGACAGCACGTGTGGTCAAAGAAACAAAGTGTGTTCAAATTCATTAAATGTGATCCCAAATATGGAGGTGGGATGGGAAATAGTACTGAGAAGAAGTAAAAAGTGCTCTTTGAGGTCACTGAAAAAAAAAGAAGAAGAATCAGGGTTGTCACACAGTAGGTTTGTGGTGTACTATATGTCAAACTTATGAAAATACACCGGGCTTTGCAGACAGACGTGCTAGATAAACGCTAACAGACTGACAGGAATACTTATTGGTGGTGAGAGGGAAGACCGGTTCAAATAAACCATACATGCCATAGACTAATGCAGCGGTTTCAGTGTAATTTTTTAAGGAGATCTTCAGACTAACTGGAAGAAATAATCAAAGTCCAATTTTAGTTGATGCTTCACAAAAATCACACCATAAACCAGTTTTCGAGGAGTCAGCGCATTGAAAGTAGGCACACAATGGCAAGGTGGCTACACTAGATTAATTTCATCCTCCTCTAACAGATGTGGGGTTAACACTGCTGTGCAATCTCCATGCAAGCATGTATAGACAGATGGACGGATGGCAAAGGGGCAATTTTGGTGGGATCATCTTGAGACAGATAGAGCCCTCCCTTGTTGTGCCCGCTGGCTACAATAAAAAAAAAAAGTGCCTTGTGGAATTCCTCCAGGACTTCTCCTTTAATCGTATGCATCTTTCCAATACAAATGCTAATGCTAACAACAGGCCCCTCTCCTTTTACCGTAAACAGAATTACTGGAACGCCGGCTTAGCATCCACCCAGAGGATCTGCTTTTGATTGGATTTGGAGGTTCAGGGGTTGGACCGAGTGTGTGAGAGTGTGTTGGCAGGAGGTAGAGGGGGGTTTCTTGGAAAGCTGTTTTGAGGCAAAAGCAGCAGTTGTCTCTCTAAAATTATGGACACCCTGCCAACAAAAACAAACAAGGGCACGGAGCTTTGTGAAGGCAGGCGCAGCTGCTAGAAGCCACTTTGAGACCCTTTGCCCTGATGGCCACATCTTGTGAAGATAGACAGATGATGAAAGGATCATTCAGATGTGGGTTGCTGCCATCATACTAATTGGCTTCTTAATGGATTTGTCTTCTGTCTTGGGATACAGTATCCTCCAGGGGTAATATGCTGACATCAGTTTATAATGGCAGACAGGGTTGTCATAATGTGCATAGCTTAAGCATGCCCACACCCACCATTCCTCTTGTTCTTGATAGATAGTTCACCTAATGGCACTAAAACGAGTATAGTCTGCCATCCATGACCATGGTCGTCTTCTCCTTCTTGCCTATCCGCCATCTGCTTCGGAGCTGCATGCAAGAGGAACAACATGGCACCGTGTGGCACAGTGTGGCAGAGCTGGACACGGCACGGCATGACTTGATTTGGTGGAGGCTATCTTTTGATTGTTTGCAATGTGGTACAGACACGTGCTGGGCCCATGGGCAAAATTCATAACTTGCGTGGACTCACATTCGCTTGTTACAGGAAATCAAAAACCTAAACACAGCTACTAGAGCACACACACAAACACATATGGTACATAGTTAAAAGAAAGTAGAATAACAGCACAAGCGTTAACAACAGTATGCCTCTTTGTTCCTTTAGCATGGATCGCATTTCAATTTAACCCAACTTTATGCTGGGGCGCTCGTTTGCCTCACGTTTTGGGCTCTTCTCCATGAAATGTCATTGCAGTTTCAGTGGCTATGCAAGTCATCACATGTACCACACACACACACACACACACACACACACACACACACACACACACACACACGTTTTCATAGTGAGGACATCTAAATGACAAAAGGCTTTCCCTAGCCACTTACCCTAACCTTTCAAAAATTAATGCCTTAACCATACCCATTAGCCTAAACCGAAAATGCCTTCAAAGTTGTGGGGACAGGCATTTTGTCCCCACAACTGACTGTTGTCCCCACAAGTATAGTAGCATTCCAATTTTTGGTCCTCACAAATATATCCAAATACGGCAGGCGCACACACACACTTGGGTTATGTATGTCAGATAGCCAGAAAGACTACATAAAAGTATGTTTTCACTTATGTTCTGTATTCTTCATGGTTTGGGTATGTGCTGCCTTTAGCTATGGATCATGCTTTTTGTCAGATTTTAATAGTCACAGGCAAGCTGATAAAATTAACCATGACGATCTGATCAGTGTCGCATGCAGTAACTGGTGGCTGCGTGTGGATGTGTGTCTGAGTTACTCACTGATGCAGGGGGCCACGGGCGAGCGGCTCTGCTGGTACCCTTTGGCGCAGCGGTTGCAGGTGATGCCCGTGACACCGTCCTTGCAGGGGCACTGGCCTGTGGTCTGGTTGCATGTCTTGCCTGCTGCGCCCACAGGGTGGCAGTCACAAGCTGGCGGGG